CGACGAGTACTGCGGCAGCCGCTCGTTGGCGCGGTCGGATCGCCGAGCGTCGTCGAATGAGCGGATGTACTGTCTCATTTGAGTCGTGGGCACACCGAGAGCGTCTGGGGCTGGGGCTGGAGCAGCAAAACCCCCAGGCCACGGCGCAGAGGTGGGCTGACCAGTGGGAGAGAGCTCTGTCGCGCTCTCTGCTTCTTGCCTGTGATGAACAGGACGTGCAACACACGATGTTGGCATTGCACATAGCGAACAATCAGGGAGCGTACCGTAGAAGCTGGAATACACGTTGCATCCTGCCGACAGCCAGAATCTTGTTTTTTATTTCCTGTCTTCTCTCGCTTGGATGGACATGTTCCGTCATGCGCATTTCCTCTTCCTCATCGTCAAGCTCTGCGAGAGCACGCGCGCGCTCTTCATCCTCGTCTGACGACGCATACGACGACTCCTCCAGCTCGGTATCCGAGCACACCGACAGAATGGCAAGCAGCATTTCTGTAATCTTCGCGCCTACAAAAGGCAGGGACCACGTGAAGGCGTCCATAAAATTGGGCAGCCAATATGGATGGGACGATGCATTGTACTGTCGAATTGTGATGTTCTTATTCTTGTACTTAATTACTGCGGCACGGTTGTGGTACGCGTCCAGGTAGTTCGGTGCACTGAAGATGGTGATGACAGATGGGAATTTCTTCGTCGGCGTCTTCCGGTGCATGGTATATCTGTGTTGCCGATCAACGGTGGACCATTGAGCACGATGCCACGGAGAGATGTAATACCCTGCGTCTTGGGCCTCATGCCCTCGGAAGATCCCAAGAAGGCGGTTTCGTTCCAAGAATTGACATGCCGCTTCATATCTGGGGGAATCTAAATGACGGAACACTTCTTTTCATATGGACGCACTCACGTGTAGTAGAAGCTACACCCGCGCGTATGATTAGGTTCAAAGGTGTGCCCTAGAGGCAAACCCTGGGGGCGTTCGTAAGATGGTTCTTGCTATGCAGAATTGACATATGAATTGTAAGCCAATGAAATGTAGAAGAAGGAATCACGCACCTCGTGCCCAAAATTTGGTATTGGGTCAGCCCACAAGAGGTCGCAAAGTAAGCCTACTGATGCGGGCTCGACGAAACGATCAAGCTGCACACATTCAGTGAGCCATTAATAAAGACATGCGGCCTCCACCCACCTTATCTATATCTTCTAGTCGCATAAGCTCCGGAGAAATGCCCCCATGAACACAGAAAAATCTGCCATCGATGAGTGCCGTCAAGGGTAACGCCTGGAAGGACTGGATGCACGCCTCATATACTGTTGTGGAGTATTTGTGGAGGCACTCTCGTTTGAACGTGAAGTATTCGGTGAGATGTCTGCATTCATGGTTTCCCCGGATGAGAAACAGCCGATCAGGATACCAGAGCTTGAGTGTATAAAGGTAGAGGAGGCACTGAACAGATAGTGCGTCAAGTTGTCATCCTGTCAACAAGGAGCGTCTAGCGACAGCCATCTTTGTGATGGCTGTGTAAAAGCACAGCAGGTTTAGAGCGCATGTGTAGTTGGCTGCGGGTTGGCTGTGTTCGTGCGCAAGATCTGTGCAGCCAGTTCCCATGCCAGCATAGGCGGCCGACATAACCAGCTATCTAGTATAATGAGCATCACAGAACACTCACCTCGATACCAAAATACCCGCGATCGACATAATCCCCGAGAAATAGGTAGTTGTTCTCCGCAAACGAACCACCCACTTCGAATATTTTCATCAAATCGTACTGTACGAAGCGTCAGAGCAGTGAGCGAACGAAATTCAGAGAAACGCATACATATTGCCCATGGATATCTCCGCACACTGAAGAATTAGATGGATCAGCACGTAGACATGCAGATCTGACTGTCCCATCTGATAGAGGTGCGCTCCATCTAGGAAATTGGCAGCTCACCAGTGACGGGCCCATCAACATGAAGCATATTGGGTTCTTGAGACATCAATGTAGTAGCCTGTTCCAAGATATACAGGGCTTGTTGCTCAGTGAGCCTGCCTTCACGAAAGAAATGTTCTCTCAGCAGGTCAGCGTTTGGCCTGTGAATCCCAGCTTGTACATCGGGTACGTAGAAGTCTTCGTCTCTGGGACAGAATGGAATAGGTGGTGGGACCTGGTAAAGATGGACGCACAACGGTGAGGGCTCTGCGGGCGTGTGGCTAGTGGAGAGGCGCATACATGCTCGACTTGTCGCTTCTGCAAATCGCCGCTATTCGGCACGAACTTGAGGGAAGGTGTAACAGACCTTTCCTGTATCTGGTTCAAAGCAGACGAGTAGTAGGCACTTTGATGATCGTCAAGAGCTGGTGGGGACATGAGGATGCCGATACAACTGAACGGAGTTGACAATAGTTGAAGTTTAGAGAGAACTAACGCGAGCACGTGCGGGCGGAAATACCCATGCGGGTGGATATCGAAGCGCCCACAAGGTCTAATCATATTTGAAGGAGCTCATTACAAGAGGACCCATAGTCAAAGATGAAAGTTCAACTAAGTGCATTATTCATCTAGACTTCTTACGGGGTCAAACAAATCGTTAGCAATGCGCAACACTAGCCCACAAACTACAAACCACTTCTCCCACACAATCATGCAATTTCAACAATATAAATGTGTTTAAACATCACAGGCTCCACCACCACGACACCCTCGCATAGGTCAATATGAACCCATCACACAAACAATAAATTCTTATGAAGCCACACAACTTCATATTTCTTGACGCACACATCAATGATTTAAACCCGTTCAATTAATCCATGCTCGTTATATGCTAGATGTACCGAAGTACTAATGCTAACGACTAATCACACCATCTTATAAAGATGTGTCAATTATTCACTCCGCCGCAACACTGTAGAGCCACACACCTTAAGCAGTGATACCGAGGATGGAGATGAGGACAGTGACTTTGAGGGTGGTGAGAACACCGACAACGTCACCAAGCGCAGCGAGGACCAAAGAGATGAGGCTGCCGAGGAACGGCTGCACGAGCATCACAATGGCACATACGAGGCAACCGAGAACCTCACTATAGCCGAATCAGACGTCACGTAAACATTAATATCAAGGAACCACTCACAGCAGACCAGCAAGCAGCGCAGATACGCAAGCAAGGTTGCTGCTGAGGGTAACGGCAAGCACAGCGCTGACAGCGTCAAGAACAAGCTGCAGACAATGACAATCAGTCACAAGAAAAACAAAATACTTCTAAGCTACCTACAGTCAAGAGGCCGACAACAACCGAGACAACCTCAGTCACAGTCAACAACACACCACCCTCAAGCCCGAGGACAACAGACTCCGCTTCACCAACAAGACCGTTGATCGAAACGAGAGCGCTGCCAAGAACAGTCGTAATTTCGTCCACGAGAGGCGTAAGGACCTCAAGAGTAGCGTTGTCCGCCGTAATGAACTCTGAACCGCCGATTAGGAAGTCGCAAAGGGTTAAGAAAAACGGACTCACGGAATTCATAAGTGTACTGGTAGACTTGCGTGTGGGTCTCGTTGATGATGTCGACGACGTTCTTGGTGGCGCGAGGGACCTTGGGAACCTCAACAGCGGAGACTGCGGGGACGTGCTTCGCGAAGGAAGACACGTCGCTAGCGGGGCCGACGGTGGGGGCCGCATATGTGAAAGCGCTGAGCGCGAGGGTGGCAAGGACAGAGAGGGAGCTGAAGGAGAGCATTTTGAAAAGAGTGTGGGGTGGGTGGGTGACTGGAGCTTGGAGATAGAGAACGAGGCAAAAAACTTGACTGGATGTCAATGGAGAATGGGGTGCACTCGCACCGGCTTTTATGTGTGCGCGAGCTGGCACCCCAATTAACGGCGAGAGACGCACGGCGACCCCGACTTGGGGACACTGCAGCCGCCTGGCTGTGAAAGTGTTAGGCGGGCGCGCTAATTTCGTACTTCCAGGCGATCGACTCGGCAGAAGCGTGTCACTGTCGCAGGGTCCGCAGGCTTGCGCTCGCTGGACTCGCAATTTTCGGACTCACCGTGCACACGTTGCTGAAGAAGCGAGCAATCGATTTGATATACATGTACCAGCAGATGTCCCAGTCGGATTCAAATCCCTACGCATAGCAAGGTCAGTGCGAAATTACAGACCGCGCTCCCAGTTGGAGCGATACACACATGCCACTGCGTCGGCGGAGTGGCGCGGGTGAAACATACAGGAGCGAGTTATCGGTGGTTCCATGACAACATGGAGCATCGTTTTACTGGAAGATGCTTCCTGGGCGTTATGCATGAGCTGCCGTAGCCAATCGCAAACGCACACGAATGGGTGAAGGCGCACCGTGATGGGCGTACGCGAGAGAAGACTCGCTAACCGCGCTAAAATGCAAATGAAGCGGCCTCTGGGAAAAGCCGCCGACTTGCGCTGGTGAAACTCGTCACGACCAGCAAACATAAATGGCACTCGCCGTCGCATTCTGTGACAGGGTTGGCTCCTCTTTGGATCGACGATGAAGTCGCAGCCTGCAGGCTCAACACGATTCGACGCACGGAGAGGCCTCGGATCGGCTAGACCACATCCCTTCCGGCAGTCTGATGCCACGCGGGTTTACAGCCCGCCGTCGGGCCCGCACCATGCCACAGCCCACGGGGCGCCGCTGCCCGCTCAAATGTAATACGATGGTATGATATACAGCAGACGAGGCTACTGGAGTTTCTGCTTCCTCAGTCTTGTGAATGAGTCTTAACAGCATTGAGGAGGCCACAATCGCTACTTGATAACTTGCGACCCGCGAGAAACCACGTTTAGACACCGAAAACATATATGACACTTGATACATGTGGCACAGCGCACCCGCACACTTATTGAAACCGGTTTGACTTTGGGCAAAATTACGATTCCTCTAATAATGAAGTGACGTCACTTGCCAAAATATGAAGGTAGTAGTGGCACCACCGATGATAGTGGACTTGCAATCCGCCCCCTACGATGAATGACTAACGCGCTCAAGCTGAGCTGATAAAATGGGAGTCTTGGAAGAGGACTGTCAATAGGACACCCGAGCCACCGTCCGAGAATCGAAAGGATGCAATCGTAGATGTCAGGCGTCAGTCTTCCCATCGAACCATTGGCGTGGTCGAGCGAACAATAGAGATCTTAAAGTTAAAGAAAGCTTAGTCGTTAACGCTGGGTCTGTTGTCATCCACGCCGGCATCGCATCCTCACGGATTGTACCTGATAGAGCTCAACCGTTAGTGACCGGGGAGTGATGCAGGCTAGCCATGAGTTTGTTTGGCTAGCCGTACCAAGGTCAGAGGCGCGCAGAACTCCAGATGGCTTCATCAATAACGCTAGAAGCGTCGAAGCAGCCCGCCCAACGTCCGCTCGGCTGAGAGCGGACAGATGTCGGATCTAGTCAAATCAGTGCGTCCGCTCTCATCAAGACAGTTGGACGAGCCAATCGAAACCAACCGCACGCAAAAATGAACTAGGGACCCCAAATCTTACCAATATTTCAATAGGTGATAGGAACTGTGATAACGGCGCGATCTGAACTACTACTACAAGGACAGAATGCATGAACAACAGATATACAACAAGAGGGAGACGCACTTCCGGGGAATTGAGACGGGAGTCATCCTAACGCCTTTACAAGAAAGGAAGGCCTCTGCCAAAAGTTGAATGGAGCAGGTAACGTGCTACGTTTCCGACGTTGATCTCACCCGCAGACTCGCAATAAATTCTGCAACTGTCGTCCAATACCCTTGTTGGACGCAAGTATCATCTAAGGGTCGCATTCTACTGAGTCTTCTCAAGAACGAAAAGACAGGTCGCCTCTTACTATGTGTGCCTTTCTCGAACTCAACGAAGCGCGAGTGTGCTCCTCTATCCACAATATCATGTACGGTTTTGCCGTTCCGCTCCGTTCGATCTTCTGCATCGACCTCCTTTGATCGTCGGCTGACTCTTTTCTGCACAATTTCCCAAAGGCCCTGCATATGCTCTCGAGGGACCACCTCATCCTGCACACCGCTCAGCATCAGAATGGGTATGTCCCGTGGGATAAGGGGAATCTTCGAGGCCGAATCCCACTTCTGATGGCAAAGGAATGCGAAGGGGCCGAGTATTGGGAACGCATTAGGGACTAGACGAGGAAGAGAGAGAAATGTGTTTTCGAGAATGAGAGCCCGGATCTGAAAGTCAGCTGTGAAGGAAAAGAAGAGGTTGAAAGTAAGGCATGTAACCCACTGCATGTGGATTGCGGCTGGCAAGATCGATGGAGACTGCTCCGCCGATGGATTGGCCATAGAGTACCTGTGACAGACGTCAACGGAGGTGATTCAAGATATATTCAGAGGCCATGCATAGTACGTACAATGGGTGAGCTGGAAAGTGCCGGGTGTGACGACACGTAATCAAGTGCACACTGTGCGTCGATCTGAATGCCTGCCGCAGCGGGTACGTATAAGTGCCGAAAGTGGATCTCGATCAACTGCTGTATTTTCACCTTTCTCCGATGGACTACCCTCTGAGCGGCCGTATCTGTTGCCAACGTGTTCAGCATGCGCTGAGGAAGTGAGACATATTAAACACACCCTCTATAGGACAACATGAAAACGTTGCATCGCATCTTGACGTAGAATACTTTAGCGAGTGGAATTCGATGGCCAACATTGCCGCCGTTTCCGTGGAACATCAAGATTGTAGGCCGTCGTGAAGCAAACTAGACAAGGAATGTTATAAGCTGTGGTAGGCTCCTTGACCTACGTTCGAAATAAATAGGCATGATGCAATGATTAAAAGCATCAACTTCCGAAATTTTTGACAAATGTGAAGAAAAAGCCATGCTAAATGGCAAAAAAGGACATATTCGGTTCAACCGGACGAGACAAGCATCACACCGGGAGGGAAAATAGGAATTGTGTTCAATGACAACGAATGTCACTTCAACATGGAATCGCGTGCACGAAGTGCGGCGAGTGCTTCACGTAGACCACAATTCAACCAAATCAAAAGAGAAACTGTACCTCTTCGTCACTTTCATCTTCTCTAGTTTCAACTTCCGGCGCCTCAACATGTGACATATCTTTCCGCTGAAGAAGCAAGTAGCATGGCAACTTCAAGCCATCTGGTGTCACGAGCTCCGGATCCTGATAGGGGAGCCCAAAATCAATTGGCAGAGGTACCTCTGTACAGCAAATGGTTGGCTCAACAAGTTGAAAGGAGTACAAAGATCACCAGCATGTACCAGTTCGGGACCCAGGAGGGAAGGCAGATGGGTATATGAGATAGTTCTGGCCAAAGAATAATAGGCCAACACCTGCATGATGTTGTAAGTCAGTTCAAGCGGATGCTCATTTAGGCTATCAACGCACCAACAGTTCCGAGACCCGCTGCTGTAGCGATTGTTCCCTTCAATGTCGGGCTCGACTTGAGTTGTACTCTCGGCAGGGCAAGAGGACAACTTTAGCTCACTTTTGCAAAGTTTTCGATGGATTCTAAGGAAGGCAGCAGCCCCGACATGACAGAAAAATGTATGCTGTTGTGCGGTCGCTGAGCATACAACCGCTGGAGCTCTAACGCGACGAAATTCAATGCTGTCACACATGTCACACACAGTATGTCGCGCATAGAGGCCTGGTTCACTGTCACATTTGTACGACACTATGTATAACTCATAAGTAATGCAGAACAGTTGCAATCTTGAGCAGAACAGAGAGCAATAATATTACAAGATATGTGTACAGACATAGGTATTGCAGTTGAATTCATACAATGATGGATCAAGAATGTAATACATTACTAGCACTGCACAAGTTCAGTAACATGAAGACAGTAGAATCGCAAATAAATATGAGCATAAGTCCGTTGCAAATCCGGTGTCCAAGGTAATTATTTACGTGGAGAGCTGAGGGGAGATCCTACTGATGACGGACGTTCGAGCCGACTTCGGAGCCGCTCGACTTCTCGTTCAAGACTGATCGTCGGGTCAGCAAACAGTAGGATCAGAAGAGGAAGGGGGGCGTACTTTAAAGCCTTCTGTCTGAAATCTCCAGCTTCACGTTCTGCCCTTCGCTTCGCAAGCTGGAGGTCATTCTCAGAGGTATGCTGTTTGACAACTTTAGCTAAAAGACGCCTTTGTGATGCTAAGGGTTCTACTGACCAGCTCGTCCATCGTTTGCCGCATATCGAGAATTTTAGCTTCATATGATTTGACCTCTTCCTCCAGCCGACTCTTCTGACGTTCGGCTTCCGCAAGCTGGTAGTTGGCGTCGCGAGCGCTTTTGTCTACTGTACGGTGGAGACGAACTGAGTCTTTCGATGACTGATTTAATTGATTTGTAAGTTCCTCTATACGACTCTCAAGACGCCGTGATGTGACGGAGGGACGCTGAGAGTTCAGAGATCTAGTCTCGAGGTCTACAATGCGAACATTTAATTCCTTGATCTGTTTCTCGAGACTGGCCTTGAACGTTGACGAATATTAGCGTCGAACATGAGACATTACAAATGGTGTACTGACATTGAGCTTGTCCAACTCGGAATTCTCCACGCGGATCTTCCCTAGCTCGATTTGGCACTCGCTCGCAAATCCTTCGGCTTTCTTCATGCGCTCAAAGGCCATCCCTACGCGGTCAGTCTGCTCTTCGAGGGATCTTTCTATATCTTGCTTCTCCAGCCGCAACCTCTGCAATTCAGTTTCGGAAGACAGCTTCAGAGTGTCAACAGAATCCAATTTGATGGCTTCAAGTTCGGCTTGAAGGGCGCGTCGTGCCTTCTGCAGGAGCGCACGGTCTGCCTCTGCATCATTCAGTACGCTTCGAAGCTCGCGGACTTGAGAATGCAAAGAGACAATCTGAGACTGTTGCTCTGCTTGAGCAGCTGTTGAAGAGTCATAGGCCGTTGTCAAGTCTTGGATCTTGGTTTCTAGGCGTTCCTTATCTTTCTTCCAGGAGCCACCATTATACACTTCCTCGTCGTGCCGCAGCTGAAGCTCGTCATAGTCGGACCGAATCTTCCTGTTCTCTTCCCGTAATCTGCTCATGGTATCCCGCTGCGACTGAAGCTCTGGGGAAAGTGAGTAGATGTAAAGACGGAAGCTCAGTCACACTCACCTTCACTGAGTTGGGCTAATTCAGCTGTACAGACAACTGTGTGAGGCAAGATGTTGTTTATGGCATTGGAACAGCTGACCTTGATATTTCTTACGAGTCTGATCGGAAGCGAAATCTCGCTCAGCTAATTCTTCTTGGTGCTGTTTGCGCTCGTCCTCCATCCCCTCTGCGAGACGTTGACGCAAAAGCTCGAGATCGGATGACTCACGGCCTTCCTCGTCAAGCTTTGCCTCAAGGACGCGCATGCGCTCTTCTGCAGCTGTGAGTTTGGCTTCCGCAGCATGCCATTCTGTTGCGGCATGAGCGTGCGCCTTTTCGGCGTCCGCAAGAGCACGGCGAGCTACGATTGATGTTAAAATACAATCACGACTCGAATACAATCAACTCACCAGATGACTCGGCACGAGCGATCTTGGCCCTGGCGATTTCTGCCTCGTCGAGTTTCTTAAGGTAAGAATTTGTTTGTGCCTTGTACGCTTCGAGGGCCGTCTGCAATTCTGAACGGACGAAATGTCATATCGTTTAGGAATTGAGTTTTGAGAGCGTCGTACCTGACTGAATAGTGGTCGACGCAGTAGCTGTAACTTCCAATTCCTGGAGGCGCATTTGTAGCTGCCGCTTTGTACCTGGGGTTCAATTAGCGCCACATTTAAATCCATGTAAGGGTACGTACTGGTATCGTCTTTCTTGCTAGCTAACTCGACTTCTAGGCGGTCCTTAAGATGAGCGATGTCCATTTGCATTTGCTTCTTCGAAAGCAGCAGCTCCTGCACCTGGTGGCGCTGCTCTTCCAGCTCAGCTTGTGCCGTGCGCTGTTGAGCGAGCTATCCTCATACAAGATAGGTTATACATTTCCAATCTTTGTGCGAACATGTGAACTTACCAGGGCTTTGCGCGACTCTTCAAGACGAGCATAGCTGTCCCTCTCTTCATTGATCGTATCCTGAAACTTGTCCCACATAGTTTGTATACCATGAAGCTGTGCAGCGTCTGCTGCCCGTCTTGCTTCCGCCTCGTCTTCCAAGAGTTCCCCGAGGCGCGCATTTTCTTTGGAAAGACGCGCTCGATAACGCTCTAGGGACTGTTTGGACCCATCCATATTCTCCAATTCGGAAGTGAGTTCCCGCATGGAGGCTTCCAGGTATTGTCGAACACGAGAAGACGCGGCAATTTGGATTTCCAGAATCTGAATCTGATCCTTGAGTACATTCACTTGCGATTGTCTGTCTGAAGAGCGAGAAGAATCAGGATGAGAACCTTTCCGACTACGGGTAGCCCCATTTGCGTGACTAGAATGTTGGGTCGTTGCGGCACTCGCAGCCGATCGTGCATCGGATCCTGTAGACAGACGTTGTGGGGCTTGGATAAAGAGCTGCTTGTTTAGTTCCTCATCCGCAGCTTCAAGTTCCCGCAGCAGACGCGATCGGAACGGTTCGTCTTGAGGCCCATTATTATTCATGATGAGCCTGCGTATTTCGGCATGCTGGCGATCTACGCTAGACTTGATCTTTGACGCAGTTGCTTGAGCCATTTCTGCTTCTTCTAAACGGTTCTCCAGTTGTTTAATGCGTGCTTCGTACTGTGTTTGCAGAGTCGAGCCGGGGGCGCCGGCCTCATCCGCCAACCGAGCGAGTTCGCTGTCTACGCTGTCCTTCGCCTTCTGGACTGTGGCCAACTGTTGCTGAACATCTGAAATTTGCTGCTGACTGAACTTGACTTCATCCCGCAAGCGCTTGACCTGAAGTTCAGCCGCCTCCCTAGCCTGCCGCTCTCGCTCAAAGTCAGCAATCGCTCGACGGGTCTTCTCTTCTTCTGCACGAATCTTCTTGTCCTTTGCCCGCAACTCCACCTGTTCGTTTTCTTTCTCGCGGGCGAGGTCTTCGGCCTCGCTCATGAATCGGCTTTTAGCTTTCTCTAGTGAACGAATATAAGCTTGATTGGCCTGCAATTCCTCCTGAGCCTTTATAAGCTGGCGGTCTGTCACTCGCTTCGCTTCCTCCAAGACATGCACATGCTCGACAATGGTCTTGTCTTGCTTGGCCTCGAGCTGTTTGATATCCCACTCACGTGCCTTGAGGTCCGTCAACGCTTTATTGAGATCTCGATCAAGCTTGACGTTGTGATCCTTGAGCCGTATGATCTCTGCCTTCTGATTAGACGCCACTTTCTCAAGTTGAGTGCGTTTTGCAGATTCGGCATCTAGTTGCTTCTTGATGGTATCCACTTGCCTGTCGAGGGATGCTTTCTCTCGTTCTAGTTGCAAAAGAACGTCTTCATACTCCTCATATCTAGCCTGTGCTGTGATTAATTGGCGCTCCAATCCCTGCTAATGCGTCAGACAAAGGTCACATACAATATACGCAAGCGTACCTCCTTTGCCTTCTGCGCACCGGCCAACTGACACTCGGTATCGATCTGCCGTGAACGAATCGACTGTAGGTCTGATTCGAGAACGCGCTTTGCCTTCTCCGTCTCAGATAAGGAAGCCTCAGCCTGCTGCAACTTCTGCTGTGCAGACCGCTCTCGTTCCGAAAGAGACCCATGACTCTGTTTTAGAGCCATATACTCCCGGTTCAATGATTCGAGTTCAACCCGCAATTTGTTCTGCCCTTCTGCAGCGACCCTGCGCACATCTTCGAGCTGATGTGATAACTCGCCCACTTGTTCACGTAGATCAGCAATTTCTTGCTCTTTACGTTTCTCCACTTCGCTGCGACGCGTGTCTTCTGTGGTCTTGGCCTCCAACAAAGTGCGCATATCGTCCAGCTCTTCCTGTAACTTGGTGTGCAATGACGCATTGCGGTCGCGTTCGCTGCGGTGGGCTTCAAGTTCGGCGGATAAAGTGTCCGCGTTGCCTTGTAGCTCAGATATCTGCTTTAGGAGAGCCAGACGCTCCAGCTTGGAGGACTCTAGTTCGGAGACGAGACGACTAATGTCACTCTCCTTCTGCTTGATCATGTCGGAGTAGTCGGAAGCGGTCCTGGCCATCTCAGTAAGCTGATCTTTAGTGTGTCGCGCCTCCTGTTCAAGGTTATCTGCTTTTATTCGGAGAGCATCCCTTTCAGATGATGTTTAGCGGAACCAAAGCGCACCATCAAATTTCCTTCTTACCTGCTCTTCAACTCGGCGTTGAGCTTTCCGTCCAGATCAGACATTGTCGACTCCATGCGTTCTTTAGTCCGAGCCAAGTCTTCTTCACGTTGGGCTACTTGGCTTGTCAATTCCTCCCGCAGTTTCTGAAGTTCGTCCATCTCGACTTGAAGCGTCTCGATCTGTGCTCGGGCTATGTCTAAATCCTCGGCGAGCTCTATCTCCCTCTTCTCCCACTCCTGCTGCTCACCCTCCATGCGGACAAGATGCTCGGCTGCTTGATCAAAAGCATTTCTGAGCGTTTCATGCTTCTCTTCGCTCTCCCGCTGTAACTGCAGCGCTCGGTCTAGTTGAGAATCGAGTACGTCAAGGTCTGCTTGCATAGCTGCTAGCTCCTCTTCTAATTCTGCTTCGCGCTTCTTACTGCGGTCTAAAAGGGCATCTTTATCAAGACCCAGAGCGCGCTCACTCTCGAGCTCAGTCTCCACCTTCACTTTTTCCGCTTCAAGGCGCATGCGCAGACTCTCTAAAGCCTCCTTCTCTCGTTGATCTCGCTCTGCTCGCTCCTTGGCTAGGAGAAGCTCTGCTTCCTTCTTTCGCAATTCATCATCGTTCCGCGTTGCTGCCAACAGTGGGCGAACCTGCATCAATCACCATGAGCACCCCACTGTTTTTGACAGCCAGAATATACTACGTACTTTGCTGTATAGCTGCCACCATGGCCAATCACGCAACTCCCCATACACGCGAGCGTTACGTTGGATAGTGCGAATCGCGACGGCTCGGTTCAAAATCTTCTTCATCTGTCTCCTAGCACTCCACATTCGCGCAACAGCCTGCAGTCTCGAGAATATTCCATATAAGAGCAAGTCCCTGCGCTCCTCCAGCTCGGCTAGCACACCTGCCTTGAAAAATATTTTCGAGGTTCCAATGCGGAAATTGGCCTTGTCGAGTTCCAGAGCCTCCACCATACGTAAGGAAGCTTTCCGTCCATCCATATACCCGCGGGGAATAATCCCTGGCGTAAGAACCTCATAGCGCTGGCGAAATTCAACAAAGGGAAGGCGATTAGGGTATCCCAATCGTGCAATTCGGATACCTTCCAGCACACCATTACACCGCAGTTGATCGAGGACTAGCGGGACATCCACACGACCAGCTTTCTTGAGCGAATTGGGAACTATACATCGAACAAAATGAGGCTGAGTAGCCTGGAGCTGGGCCATGAGATTAGCCAGCTGCTCCTTGTGACGCTGGCCTCCAGTTCGAAATGCGCCTTTCTTCGTCAGACGCTTCTTGCCCATAGACATCGAGCTGACATGGCTTAATACAACGGATGGTGTGTCATTGTACTCTGAAAAGAGAGAAGCTATGTAGGATTCCGTAGACGACGCCATGACGCGAGTCAAGTTGTCATTCAGTGGGTCCTTGTTCTTCTCCAACCAGCCATCAGTCCTATACTCGACGCGACCTGCATAATGGTGCACTGTGAAGCCTTGATCTTGATCAAAGCGTGCCGGTTCATACTTAGTAGTGCCTGGATGTGCCTCCTCCCCAGGTGGTATCTCGCCTGCCCACAGCGCGTGTAGTTTGTTTGTGAACGTGCGGTCCGTCGCTTTCGGCATAATACATTCCTCATCCAAGAGACTGAGCACGCCGATCGCGCTTCCACTTGCTTCAATGAGGTCGATCGTAGGCTGCAAATCCAATCCAAAATTGACATAATCCCACTCGATGCCTTCGCGCGCGTATTCTTCTTGCTCTAACACGAACATGTGATAATTGAAGAACTGCTGAAGTTTCTCGTTTGTATAATTGATAAGGAGTTGCTCGTAACCATTGACATCAAAGATCTCGAAACCAGCGATATCAAGGACACCGATGAAGGTAGACTTGGAGGAAGGACGATCCAGAGCTCGGTTTATCCGATCGACAAGCATCCCAAATGATTTCTCGTACAAGGTCTTGCATAATGCTGAAAGCTCGTCTAATGCCTGTTGCTGCGTCCTTGCTTGAGTCACCCATTCACGACCAGCGAGCACGCGGGGACGTAGCACAGCTCGTGTGAACTCTGGCAGCTGGAGCCCTAACAGATGGCAAACACGTTCGACCTGGGAAGGATCAGGGATGACTGCATCGTCAGATCGAGTGGCTGCAATAGCGATGTTTCCTATGTGCAAAATGGCAGCCACCACACGGAAGAGATCGAACTGCTCGGCAGGCGTAAAACCAACAATGTCGAGCGCGCTCTAGCACGCAGCGTCAGCTTCCCATAAGAGACCACCGGTGATGCATACCTTGAGCAATCCCCATTCTTCTTTGTCGTCTATACCATCTACTTCTCGTCTACTCTTATTGAGATATTCATAGTTTTCTATGCCACCATCGAGAAGCAGAGGCTCTACAATAAATCGGGTTAGTTATAGAAGTATGGATAACCGATTGATTTACCCTTCAAGCTGCTACCGCCCTCCATTAGTTGGTAGAATACGTGGAAATTCCGCTCGGCTTCACTCCTAACGACCACTCTGCTTTTCTCGAGCAGGTACCAATCGATGTTAGCTCCGGCAATGCTTCCATCAGGCGCAAAACTAATTCTGATAAATTTTCCAAATCGACTGGAATTGTTGTTCCTCTGAGTCTGTGCGTTACCAAATGCTTCTAGTATTGGATTTGCCTGAAGTATTTGGCGCTCAAGTAGACCCAATCGATCCTTGGCGGTAAGCCCTGAACTGGAGCCACTCGTCGAGACCCCCTTCCCATGTTTTCGGAAAGAACTGGTCCGCGGAAGACCAGTTGAAGGCATAACAGAGCCAAATGCCGATGTAGAAACTAACGAAGGTGACTGTGAGTGCGAAGGGGTAGACTGAGGCGGATGCGCATCGGTAGCAATGGCTGCAAGGTACTGAATGACTTTCTTGGTACTCTCGGTCTTTCCAGCTCCCGACTCCCCACTAAGGATGCACCATGATCAATTCGTTCCAACAGATACATAATAACGACTCACGTAATAAGAATGCTCTGATTTTCGCGCTCATCTCCCATGTTGATCCATGCCCTCTCTGCGATCGCAAAGATATGTGGTGGATTTTCATCCCGACGTTTACCGCGATATTGATGGACTATTGCGTCAGAATATAGGGGCAAGTTCTGGTAGGGATTGACAGCCACCAAGAATAAGCCTGAATATGTCTAGAGGCACAACAGCCAGGTGAGTAAGCATATAGAAATTCGGTTACACTCGCCCATCGCAGATTAGAACGGGAAGAAACCATGATTCGGACAATTGAACATGCACTCACGTAGATTGCACCTGAACCGTACCTTAGCCTCAAATTGTGCACAACACTGGCCTCATTAAGGAATGTCAGATCCGCAATGTCGTCGACTCGATCGAATTTGGGAGGGTTCATCTTGGAGAGTGCATACAGCGGCAGTCGTCGAATCTACACACCACTCGGTCCAGTACAAACCACCGCGATAAGATGAGCAAGTACGCACCTCCCCTCCGGATGCAATTATGACTTCACCCATGTCGTCTTCCTCTTTGACTACCCAGCCAGCGAGATAGCCATCCTTGTCGTCCGGTACCCATACCCATTTCTTCTCGTTGAACTCGGCCTGCAGCGCGGCAGCCCGCGCAGCTTCAGCGCTTTGAGACATTCGAGGGACCGGCATAGCCTGCCCTTCACCTTGAGCAAGCACGCACTGGTAGAAGAAACCTAGTGTATGTTTGAATGCGATTCGGGGAGGTCGCGACTCGCGAGACGCGCCCATGTTTGGCTTGGTTGATCACGTGCCTATGCCAGTATGATCGCGATCTCCGCTCACTGAGCTCAGGCTTGAACTTCGAAATCATTCCGTACTTACCACTTTTTGCAGTGACTATCAATATAAAGCTATAGAAGTACTGCAATATATGCACTTCCAGCACACTAGATACCTGGATTAAGCGAGCACAGCGAGAACCGTATAAACTTAATCCCTTAGCCAAGCCTCTGAATCTCATGCTAGTGCGTAGGACGCGCTGCCTTCCGCCGCCGAGCCCGGCCTCTACGCTCGACCTTTCAGTTCGCTAGAAGCAGAATGCTTTGTTTTATCTGAGCAGCTGCAGCACACTGGTACCTTGCGACTGCTTCATTGTTCCCATTGCATGTGCTTTGAGTCAGCGGGTTGGCATGTCTCGTAATCTAGCCACTCCTTTCGGGTCACTCCTTTCCTTGCCAAACCATTTTCCCTAGAGCCACTTGAGCGAAACACGCCCTCAAACTATCGTGCCCCTCAAACTGGAAGAACAAGATGTATCCGTACGACATGGACGTTGACGATTGCCCGACTACGGAATCGCGTAGCAACGAGGCTGTCGTTCGATGGAAATGTTCTCAGCCCACCTCTTCTCCCTTGAACGCGCTTCTGGAGGAAGCAGCCAAGCATAGGAGGGGGAAAGCAGGTATTTTCATCATAGTTTCTCCTTACCTTGGCCATGGAAGCTCATTTATTATTAGCTCAACCGACGAACACACTTTTAAGTGAGCATTCCTTCCAGTCACTGTCCTCCTACAACCCCCCCGGTGCAGCCTTCGCAGCAATACCTGACACAATTGCTCTGCCCACACGTTCGCGCTCAGTTCGCGCTCGTCGGGTCCGAGAGCCCATCACGCCGCGAGCATCCGCTCAACCCGAGCTTTTTCCCACTTCTGCCGTCTTGGAATGGAACGGATCCGTGGATAAAGTTGCTCGAGATGCCGATACTAGTGCGCGCAAACGAAAGGAGATGATGGAGATTGCTAAGGCTAGTGTCAGCCGGAGGGGCGAAAGCTCTTCTCGTGCTGTCCGAGCTCGCCATAAGCTTTCGCGGAATTCGCAGCAGACCCTGGCGCAGAATCCCATCAGTTTTGAGAACCAGATGTCAGATGGACGCACCGCTATTGCTGAATCGACGTTCCAAGGGCGCTCTCGCGCGGCCGACTCGATTTCTTTGGATGGTTTCACGTCCGGCGTTCATCCACACGCAGGGCAAGACCAAACGGAGGCTTCAAACTCCCGTTCGTGGTCAACTTCTTCCGCTCTTGTTCGCTCGTTTTCTGCCGGATCACCTTCAGTGAGTGGGTTAGAATACCTCGAAGGGGTTGATACTCTGAGGTCAAGTTGGGCTTATTCACCGCGAGAGGCACCGTTGACTCCACCCGATGAGTATGCACCACGCAAGAGCAGCATGTCTCCGCACGAGGAAGTTCCTGTCCCTATAGCAACAAAACATGAAGTGATGCCGCCAGCTCTCTCCAATCCCCCCACTCGACTGCGAGTCTTAGGTATGCGCCCCGTGAGCTATCCAGCACACTCCTCATCGCAACTCACGCCTTCTCAAATACTACCCACAAAACAAAAGCCGTTCAAACCCCCGATCGCACGGCCACCCCATGCACCCCTCGCGAGGTCAGCTCGCTTGACTGTCCCCACCGCCGTTGCACCAATAACACCCGACTATACGCCACCTCCTGCGGATGGCAAATCCCACGCGCCTGCCGTTTCTAAAGTACCGAGGAAGGGTGCCAAACGTTCTCCTTCGCCAGCACCAGACGCAAACTCCAGTTTTGGAGAGATTGAGCTTCCATTCGACTTCGAAACTTTGGATGCGGAGATGAGAAAATATGATTAACTTGGCAATTCTGTTGTATGCTTTGTTGAAAACTTCTGGTGGATTGTCAGTCCTAGTTGTCCGGGCCCGTACATGCCTCTTTCTTATTTGAGGTGGACATCGCAGAACTTACTATATGAGCCACAATAATCATTGTATACAGCATACAACTACTTACAGTATCAAAATGTTTCATTTGGTAGGGACCTACAACTAAATCGAAGCTATGTACACAAGCTAAAACTCTATACACAAGTGAATGAGAGGCGACCGTTATGGCGTTCGACGCGCGAGGGCTACGGCGATTCTTTTTTGTTAATTTTTTAATTTTTTAATTTTTTAATTTTTGATTTTTATTCTTCTTGTTTATAAGGGTCCGTACTCTAGCGCGTACATGTAGACCGCCATAACAGCTCGTCAGATAAGTGACCATGGGCTCCCCATCCGCCACCCCGTCCACCGTCCCACCTAGCGTGGTCACATGACCAGACCATTGGAGGCTCTCCCGGGCCCATTCCACAAATTCCGCTGACGACCCACTGAGGCAGGGCCGTTTACTCCAGATAACAACGATGAGCGTCGCCGCGCACCAAGGCGGCCCGTTAAAGGAGGCCCGCTAACCCAACGAATATACACCTAACGCAGCCCGACAAGGGCTCGCTCCCCCCCCCACTGCGTGACACATACCCCATACCGGCAGAGCCCCCAACTCCTGACCTATTTTCCACTGCCCTTAACCAGAGGTCCCATCGAGAAGGTTCGCGTGCATGGGTGGTGGGTATGGTGAGAGTGCCTTGGCACTCCCCCAGTCGGCATGGTAATCATGCCTCCCCTGCTACACACAAACACATCCGCTATCGATAGTGCGCCCGTCCTTGAAGGCCGGTCTGTGCAAAACAGAGCTTGGTGCAGATGGCGGCCGGTGATACCGTCCGAGAGATTTACGTTCCCCCTTAACGAAGGGGGTCGCGTCGAGGATGCCGGAGTGAAATAACAGGGGCAAGGAAGATCAGGTAGTGCAACCCGCCAAAGGCGGTCCTGATTCAAGGATCGAGTTGGTCGATGTTTGGGAAATGACTGTGGGGGGCAAGTTAGATGGTCTTGACACAAGGATAGGATGTAATTATGAGAGGATTGGTATGTTTGTTCAACGGAGGCGACAAGCGCCCACCGTGGTGGTGGTGGTTCGAGGCCAAGAGACGCGCGGGCTACGGCGATTCGGAGTACGTACCATTGGCGGTTCCATTGAACGTGCAACCAGGAGCAGGTGCTTCCTCATTGGTACCGGCGATCGTAATTTACGGGTGATCATTGTATACGGCTACATTCGTGCAAAATGATCCAGTTGGTCCAGTTGGTAGGAAGATAGAAGGGTTGGTGCCCCTCATGGGTGTCATCGTTGCCAATGATTTATGAGGCCCTGCTGAAGGGGTCTTACGGCGCCACCAGTTACGTAAAGCGGCTGCGAGCTTCACAAGTACCGAGTGGTGGGATGTCCAGATACCCACAAGTCACGGTCCTGTCCGGCAAAAATCTCATATAGGAAAATCTCGAATTCCGTGCGTACAGTACCCACCGCGATGCAAAAGAGCAAGGGCCGAAGGGAATCTCGTGCAAACAAGCGTCTACAACTTTACTTACTGTTTCATCTCATCGTAGATCCCATGCTAGAATGGGTCATCGGTAGCGAGTTAGATGCGTAAGAGAAAACACCACGTACCACCATCTACGGTTCTTATATTCACCTAAGTCTTCGAAGTGAGTCGTATATTATTCTCAGGGACCAGCAAGAACGACACATCGACGACGTCAAACATGCGGTCATTCTAGATCCATATTCAGTGTGTTCAACCGAAGGCAATTGCGAGAGGATAACAAGCCATGATCCATCATATAGAAAAACCCGGCATATATAGCATCTGCGATGTTTGTGGCGAGTTCCGCCCGTTCTTCAGCAGTATCCCCTTTGGACAGGTCAACAATGGCCAGATCGACATGTTCCACTGAAAAATCAGGGCTTTAGCATCAATCAGCACAAACTTCAGGGACCTAGACTGCTAATAGGGATCATTGATGAGCGATATCCTTTCACGACGAGAGACAGACAGAAATACGGGGCTAGACATGCTGACCTGAAGATTGCTTAAAGATAAGCTGATGAAAGATCCGAGTTCGAGGATAAGGGGCGGTCCTGGCGAGATAAGGACCTTTAATGAGAACCTTTAAAGAGCTTGTGCCAATGAGGCATGCGTGCAGGGTTACTTAAAGTTCGGGATAGAATACCGCAGAGACAGATAGCTCGAAGCAACCCCTACTGAAGACCATCTCGAGATTAATATGATAGATGAACTGACATAATTTAGGGTCTTTTTAGGAACTGACACGGATCAATCCGGGTCTATGGAAACAGGGACTGGCCAGGCATCCATCCGGCTTCGAGGAACAGAGCAGACAGTACACAGAATGGTAGCGAATTCAGCGCAACAGGATCCGATGCGCCACGAAGCTTGCGAGCAAATAACCCTCGCCGGACAGGCCCCTTACGCTGCGGTGAATCAGCGTGAGATTCCTTCAGCATATGAAAATTAGAAGTTCCGAACCTTCGTAATAATCTGCAGCCATTAACCTGTCCATTGTGAGCGAGACTGAAAAACGAAAGAGGAAATGCGCACATCTCCAATGCTATTTCAGGTTGCAGACGTTCAGTGAAGTCGGGAACTTCCTTCGCAGGAGTATTCTCGTATAGGGCCTTATATGAGAGGTATTCACACAACTTTTCAACTATCACGCCACTAACAGTCGACGGCCGAGATGAATCGAACCTGAAGAAAAAACACAAGTAAGATCGACGCACCGTTCGTTGATAACGCAAGTGTTTGACAGTGCCTCAAGGAATTTATCTTGTACCCCTACTGAGCAGAACATCTAGGCGAAAATGGCGTTTTACGCACTGTCCGCGTTCAACATATTCCTCAACGTTGCGCTTCCCATGGCCACTTTACGACGGACAAGATAGCTGTAGCCGTCAGTGCTTACAAGCTTTACCCAATCGGATTCCGAGGACGTTTCCTCGTTAACCTGAGCCATAGTATATTTGACTTAGAATGATTGAGATGTCTTTGCCGCTTGAACTTGCCTGCATGGTGAATTCGTTGATTTTGTGGAAAGGAGATACAACCAATGGGATTCACAATCAGTCCTGCCAACGAGTATGAGGGGTGTAGTTCGGTCAGTTTGTGGTCAAGTGAACGTTATGACCAACGGCAGCTGCATCGGTGGTTATCTGATCAGGAGGAATTAAGTTTGCGAACGCGGGCGCGTCCGAGCGCGTCTCGCCCGGAACCTCTCGAGTCCCCGTATTAAAGCCGGCTGACTCGCGCTAGCAGTTTGCTACAGCTCTCGCGTATTCTCGCTTTCAGCGACTGTCACTTGGACCTCCTTCTCAATATCTATCTGCTGGGATGCTTAGGACCGCTAGCCAACCAATAGTGCGCACATCCGCGGCGCGAGGTGCGGCTCTCATTGCGGGGGGTCGTACAGCCTCCGTTCAAGTTGTAAGGCGTAGAGTCCATCCACCCACAAGAGGCATACAATCAGTTGCTCAAACGGATAGGGTGTGTTTCATGCTCATGATCAGTCCGTACCATTCAGATGCGAATACTTGAGTCCAGGATACCATCACCCGTCTCCTTTATTCCATTGGTACCAAACGCGAAGTGGAACGTTATTTGAGGATATTTTCATCCTCTTCAGACGTATCACAGCCTGCGAAATTCGCTGTCATCAAGATTGGCGGTGCTGTCCTCGACCAAGTTGACGAACTCGCGCTCAGTCTCAGTTTCCTCTACCGCGTGGGACTATATCCTGTCGTCCTACACGGCGCCGGCCCTCAACTCAACAGCATCATTGAAAGCGCAGGGGTGGTCCCTGATTATCACGACGGAATTCGGGTCACAGGTAATGTAACCTTGTGGCACATTGGTCGTGTCTCATGGCTTATGTCTGATGCAGATGCTAAAACCTTGAACATCGCACGTCGAGTGTTCTTAGAGGAAAATCTAAAACTCGTCGGTGCGCTGGAGAAGCTGGGCACGCGCGCACGTCCCATAACGTCGGGCGTTTTCACCGCAGACTTCTTGGATAAGGACAAATATGGCCTCGTCGGCAGGATTACTCGTGTCGACAAGCGTCCTCTCGAAGCATCCATTAGAGCGGGCGCACTGCCCATCCTCACCAGTCTTGCCGAGTCTGAATCGGGACAAATTCTCAACGTAAACGCCGATATTGCCGCGGGAGAGCTCGCCAAGGAGCTCGAGCCCCTCAAAATTGTATTTCTGAACGAGAAGGGTGGTCTGTTTCACGGAGTAACCGGGGAGAAGCTCGATGTGATCAACTTGGATGAGGTGGGTGATTCTTGTCTTCTGCACAGAATAGCCAATTGACTTCACCTCATCATGAGTAGGAATATGAGGACCTAATGGGACAGTCTTGGGTCAAGTTCGGCACCAAACTCAAGCTACGGGAGTTCAAGGAACTGCTTGATCATCTTCCTCGCTCTTCATCAGTTGCTGTGATTCGTGCGGACATGTTGCAGCGCGAGCTGTTCACGGATAGTGGGGCGGGTACTCTCATCCGTCGCGGCTACAAGCTGTTCCATCATGATTCAGTTGATTCTATTGGAGCAGATCGTCTTCGCCAGGTGATCCATGATCGTGACCCTGATGTGCTGGCTGGCGACGACAGCGTCGCAGGCGTGCTGCACCAGTTGAAGCAGGCTCCATATACCATATACGGCGACGAGCCCCTTGATGTCGTAGCGATTGTATCTCGTCCGGACGGCGAAGTCCCAGTGATGACGAAGTTGCTGGCCTCGCGCAGCGGTATCATGAATGGCATCGTCGACAACGTCTTCAATGCAATCAAGAAAGATCATCGGAAGCTATTCTGGACTGCGCGTGCTGACGACGAGAATCGGGCATGGCACTTTGAGCGCGCTGATGGAAGCTTCACGCGCGCGGGGAAGTCGCTGTTCTGGTACGGCGTTCAAGATGTGCAGGAGGTGGAACGCATCATTCAAGGCTTCGAAGCCAAGGGTAGGATTAGCCGTGCTTACCTTCCGGTGGGGCCCCCTGCACATCCTCATCGTGCCACAGCTCCAGGTACTCGGTCGTACTCAACCTCAGCCCGGACTCCTTTTCGTGGCACATCGAGAGGCTACGCCACCTCCGCGTCCAGTTCATCCACAGAATCCAAGCGACTTGCTTTGATTGGAGCTCGAGGCTTCACCGGTCAGGCGCTGACTTCCTTGCTATCCGGACATCCTTACCTCGACCTCACTCATGTGTCGTCGCGACAGCTCGCCGGCTACTCTCTGGACAACTACACGAAGGCGTCCATAAAGTACTCTGACTTATCCGTGGATGACGTGCGGAGAATGGAGAAGGACGGGGAGGTGGACGCGTGGGTCATGGCGCTACCCAACGGAACCTGCAAGCCGTTTGTGGACGCCGTTGATCAAGGGGCGAAGGAGCGCGTGAGTGGCGATACCAGCGTAGTCGTAGACTTGAGCGCCGATTATCGCTTCGAGGCTGGATGGACATATGGGCTCCCTGGTAAGGGTATTCACTCGCATGTATAATGTATCAGACAATAATACACTATCTTGGTTTCCCTTCAACCTTAGAATTGTACTCGCGACCCACTATTCGAAACTCCAAGAGAATCTCTAATCCTGGTTGCTATGCTACGTCGACACAGTTGCTCATTGCGCCGTTGCTCCGGTTCCTCAAGCAAGGGGCCTGGCCGACGGTTTTTGGTGTCTCTGGTCTGAGTGGAGCTGGTACAGTGGCTGGCCCCCCTGCGGCAGATGGGAGACCCACGACTGCTGCGAAGATCAGCCCCGAAAGCCTCGCGGGCGGACTCAAACCGTACTCTCTCACCGACCACATTCACGAACGTGAAGCCGGCCACCACCTGTCGCGCTTGATATCCGATCCTTCAAATCGGATGAAGGTCGCGTTCGTGCCCACTGTTGCGCCATGGTTCAGCGGCATCCATTCTGTTCTTTCGATCCCGCTTAGTCAGAGTGTGAGTGCAAAGGCGATAAAAGCTCTGTATGAAGAAAAATATGGGCATGAAAAACTGATCCGCATCCTTTCTGACGTCCCAATGCTTCCGGATTTTGAAAATCAACATGGATGGGTGGTCGGCGGGTTCCAGGTTCATAGCGATGGCGATAGAGCAGTGGTGGTGGTGAGTGCTATTGCATGTGCGCTAGCATGACAATTGAAGTGTCTGTTAGGGCGGCTTGGATAACTTGCTTAAGGGGGCAGCCACACAATGTCTTCAGGTTTGATGTTTTTCTTGATGCACTTGAGTCAAATCCTGACATGATCATTTACACCAGAACCTGAATCTCGCCCTAGGATACGATGAGTATACAGGAATTCCAGAGTAGAGTAAACGTAGACTTTAACATACTATATAATCTGAGATCTGAGGTGTTGCCCCGGGGCCATCCGCGGGGCGGCTCGATGAATCAAGTTTCAGATTAGTTCGAACTTGATGACTACAGATCCAAATGTCGTCGCGGCATATGAGACCGCTTTCAGTTCTGTGAAGTTCAGACGAGTATGTTGTTGAACATATCTGCATTGAATACTATAGCTAGTGAATATGGCAAGTGCGGAACTTCAACCGACTTGGTAGAGAGCATTTGCGTGTCTGCTCGGACTTCAGTACTCAATGAGCGCCTGCCGTGTACCAACAATGTCAAAATGGAATTCGACAATACATTGCCGAGCGTCCCGCATCTGAGTCAGAGGCGTTAATGTTCACCACCTGGCCACATCTCCCTAGTTCCTAACCGCACATCCGACAGATACAAAGTGTCTGCCATCTCCAGTCATCGATATCTGCCATCGCATCACCACCGAGAGTAATACTTGCACCCGCTGAGTCTCCTACATACCCTCATGTTGTCCGCAGAGAAAGCAGCATTGTCTCCCTTAACCTGGCGACGCGTACCGTCGACGTTGGTCGCGCTGTTTGGTATCACAGTCCCCTATCAGCCTCCCAACAGTCTCCTTGGGGCTTTCCTCTGGCGTAAACGCATGCTCATCGAGTGCACGTTTGGATTGACGGTATTAGAATCATGGGAGAAGGCTCTGCTGTGTATGTTCTATGCTGCATGAAGATCACGTACGACGTCGCCACTGACAATAAGACCTGCGTAACAGTATGCTTGATCTATCTCATCCTCACGCTGATCATTACGGGTCTATACAAGTATGCACCTCAGTACGCTGTTTTCGTCAAGCAGCGAACAGCATACTATCTTTTTGGCCCTCAGTTTCAGGGAGGTGACAGAGGCGAGGTGGCTGAATGGGTTGTACGCAATATCACGGAAGCATTTTGATGAAAGTTTAATTCAACATTGGATGACTAGGCTTGAGAGTTTATGCGTACGGTGGGTAACTCTCTTCTCAAATCGTGCAGGGGAAAAGCCTGAAGGTCGCGAATCCAGATACAACACCTCTTAGTGTATACATTCATGTGTATTTTCATTCGCGATCGTTTATAGCACATATTATTGCCACGTAACACAGTGTAAGTTTGTTGAGTGTATCACTGTGTATGTGTTTCGAATGTTGCACTACTGGCGGAGTATTCGATGAGCCGGAGCAGTTTCGGATCATCATGGTAATAATTACGTAATGAATACCTTCAAGTTTAATTACTACTGTCTACTTATCTGTATACATTGTATCAAAACAACGGGGCCCGACGCCTATTCTCCTCGCCTCTCATCCCCTCCTTGACGGCCTGACCAACTCATAGCCAAGTCTTGACTTTGCAAAACCCTGTATTCATTGTTCAGGGCCTCGGGTTTGTGATCTTTCTTCCGTGAATCCCCGCCGAGTTGGGTTATATCAATTCTCGAGGAGACAGGACTTTGCCACGCAACCTATTTCTTGTCAACGAACGCATCTCACTTTCGACGCCTCAAGTATGGGCTCTGAATTAAGTGTTGCACGCCAACACACGCCCTCGGTCCATTATCTCGAATTCACAACCACCGAAAACTCACAGCGACCTGCTTCTGACACGACTTTGCTACCGACTGCGGATACCGCTTCGGTGGATGACCCAAGTTCCAACCATCTACCACCATCTCCTCCACCTCTGCGTATACCCATGTCTCTCGACGAATGGAAGCGTCAGCCAACAGTTTCTCAAGTCGTTTTTGGACTCGCCCTCCCCTATAAGCCTCCACACGGCTCGTTTGGCGCTTTCCTCTGGCGGCGACGCGTCTGGCTCGAGACGACATTCGCCCTCTCGATGATGCAGCCTTGGGAGAAAGTTGTCGTTGGTACGTTTAATCTTCATCCGTATCCGCTTCTATGTCTCAATCTTCACCATGCAGTATGTGCCGCGTCGTTCTTTCTCGCTCTTCTCCTCGTTGGCATGTACCTTTACTTGCCCCACCATTTCGTCTATCTTCATGGACGCGCTCTTTACTACCTTTGGGGGCATGAGGCTAGCGTAGGAAAGTCGTTGCATGCGGCCTGGACATGGAGCTCCAGCTGGCGTGCCGTTGCGAACTGGTCTAATCCCGCTGCCCTATCAGCCAGTCTCCACGAGGGCCTATAGCTAGACGTCCTCGCACCAGATTAGATGATGCTCTCAAAGTGCATTTGTCCGCGTCGGCGCGTGTATATCAGAGCTTTTTTTTTTACGGTACGCGTCTCTTATAATTTTTCTTGTGACGCGCATCATTTTCTGATCGCTAAATAGGACATACAAATTATTCCTACAGTGACTAGCCAACTTATTAGATACCCAAGTTTCTAGCATGCTAATACTGCGACGTCTTTCTCGGTTGTTCGTGATTTTCCGTTCATTATCCGCAGGTCGGTCTATCCGTTGCAATTCTCCTGAGCAGCCTGTAGAAGGGGTATGTCCTCGAGAACTCGAATAGAAGTGCACTCTGTCGATCCTATCTCGCCTACGCTGTTCGGATGGGATTGTCTGTTAGACATACTCACGATATTGCTTACGGTACTCCACGAGTTAACGTTAGATGTTTGCCATATTTGACGACTTGGTGTGACATTGATCTATACTTGAAGCGAGACACATGCACTGGGCAACATCCACTTAGTCGTAAATCAGGATGAGCTAGGGCTGAAGTTCGGAATTATTTAAAGCGCCTCGGAAACACGTGATGATACGCCAATATGATGCAAAACATAAGACTCGTATGAAAGTAGATGAAGGTGTCCCGAATTCAGCTAGCACGCATACTCACCTCCTCTACCTCAAAACTCTATGATGAGGAAGACGCAATTGCTAGCAGTATCGCTTTTGGGTGCTTGTACCAACGCTTTTCAGCTTCCCTTTCATCTTCCTTTCTTCACTGACAGCCCTCAGACACCACTTCTCCCAGCAGAACCCCCTTCTAACAGGATTGCTATAATTGGGGCTGGTGCAGGCGGAGCATCAGCCGCATTTTGGATAGCAAAGGCGAAAGAGCGGTATGGCTTGGATGTTGAAGTGGACGTCTTTGAACGAAATGGCTACATTGGCGGACGTGCGTTTGGCCTTCATCTGTCAAAGTGCTTTAATTCAAGCTGAGTTTGTCAGGCAGCACCGTTGTCTATCCTTATAACAACACCGAGCTTGATCCCGTGGAACTGGGTGCATCGATTTTTGTCAAGGTAAACAAGAATCTTTGGAGAGCTACAGATGAGTTCGGCCTCGAGCGAATCGATTTCGGCGATGATGACAGCGGGATGGCGATTTGGGATGGCTCTGAGATTCTCCTCGAAGTATGTGCTCTTACTCCTGAATGATTGAGGTATAATGTTGTCGTCGACAGACGAGTAGTGGAAGCTTCTACAGCGGATGGTGGAATACCCTGAAGATCATTTGGCGGTATGGATTCAAAAGTCCACAGCGCACCATGGCTCTCGTGAAGTCTATGACAGAACAAATTGGGCTACTTTACTCGGAGCGGGCACCGCGATTTGACAATATTACCGCGCTGGCCGAAACATTACATTGGCTGCCATACGTCGCCCGTACAGCTGCCGAATACTTTGATACAGAAGGTATCGACAGGCGCTGGACTCGCGAGATGGTCGACGCGGCGACGCGAGTCAACTATGGGCAAAATGTGGATGCCATTCATGCCCTCGAGGGCATGTGCTCGCTCGCGGCTACGGGGGCGTCCAGCGTAAAGGGTGGGAATTTCCAGATATTCGAAGAATTCCTGAAGCGAAGCAACGCGTCCGTATACCTCAACACGGCGGTGCTGTCGCTCACGTACGATGAGGCTACTGGTACGTGGCTCTTGAGCACATTCGGCTCGCAGGACATCCGGAAGTATAGAGGAGTCATTCTCGCGGCTCCAATCCATTCAAGCGCCATTGCGTTTTCTCCCGAGAGCCTTGTCGAAATGCCCTCGCCGCAGCCTTACGTTCACCTCCATGTTACTTTATTGAGCACGCCTTCTTCGTCGCCGAATCCAGTCTACTTTGGACTGGGTGAAACTACAGCACCTACGCAGATTCTTACCTCGTTTGATGCGGTGCGCAAAGGCACAGGGACGGGTCCAGAGTTCAACTCACTGACATACCACGGGAAACTGAAAACGACGGACGGAAGAGCCTGGGAGGGGCCTCGCGGCGAGGAATATGTCATTAAGCTCTTCTCAGGCGAGAAAATGACGGACGAGTGGTTAGAGACGATGTTTGGTTCAGTGGGGTGGGTCTTTCGGAAGGAGGTGTGCTAAATTCTGAACGTGTGGCAGCTTGACGCTAATGCACGTATAGTGGGATGCGTATCCGGTTCTTCCCCCCACGACGTCCTTCCCGCCAATCAAAATCGCGCGGGGATTGTATTACGTGAATGCATTCGAGCCGTAGGTTATGCATATGCTGGGAGTGTTCTCTGATTTACCTGCCTCACCAGATTCATTTCTACCATGGAGACTGAGACAGTGGCTGCACGAAATGTTGTAGATCTTCTCCTTCAAGACGAATTTAACGCCGCAGTTTGTCCTCCGGGGGTGATGGACGATGATCTCACTGGCAGTGAGACCTTCGTCCTTGGTTGGGATTGTTAGTTATCGTGTTTTCTCTTGGATGGATCCCCTTGTTATAGCTTCATGTATTGTACTCTATGCTGCACACCTTCGTGGACGACTAATCATCTTTTGGCAGAATTTATCTTCATGAGCTTGATATCTGACGATGAGGCGCCTCGAAAGCACTTTCGTCGAAACTTATTTGGAAGGCAGCCAACGTGTCCACAGATGTAAGCCCGTGTCAATAATGTGATAATCGGACATCAAAGACAGCATTGCGAGTAGTGTGTTTGTCAAATAGTGAAAAAGTACATCCAAATGACTCGGGTGATCGGTGGACTTGGCCCCCTCCTGAGATCAAGCCATTTCTCGACATGATACAGACACCACTCATGTTCACGAGGAGATACGCCCACGTCATGACGACGTGCTTGCCTGTCCCGCTTGCTGAGCCAAGAGCCGCCTGTTTACGTGCAGTCAGCATTCGCACTGAGTGGGCGAGACTCGTTGACTAGATGTATGGTAGCGAGAAACACGCACTCTCTGGCAGCTAAAATCATTCGCGCCTTCCGTTCACGCAAATTCGCTTCTCGCTTTTCCGCACTATCCTCCCAAACGGTTTTTCCACATGCTTCCTCCGGTGTGGCTGACGATATTCCGGAAGATACAGCGACGCGTTCCTGTAGGTTATAGCGACTTATGAGAGACTCAGCCCTAGACTTGGCATGGCTGGTCGTAGCATCCACATTGGCTGCGTTTGGCTGATTCGCCGCCGGAACTTGGTCGACAGCACGTGGATAGATGGTGTAGTATGCTGGTGGTGGCTATGTCAAGAGTGTCAGCGAAGAATATGTGCGTGAGTGAATCGCACTGACAGCGGGGAGGAACCCGCGCTCCAGGATTGTGTTGGTGGTCTGCTGAACATTTCCTGTTCGCAACAGGTCATAACGTATGTTGTCGCTACAGCGCTCATATACGGAAGTATTCGGCTAGAAGGTTCAATGGTGCTCACCTAGGAATGTCCGGAAACATATTGTGCACAGTCTCCACCTTGTTACAAGTCAGTCAATACGTACCTTGGATTTCGATATACACACCATCTCTATAGTCACGTTTCTTGGCTTGAAGCCCAAAACAGACGAAGGGGATGGTCCTGATGATTCATCTTTACCTGGCGCAATCGTTTAATGGAGAGAAATGAGAGGATCAAGTGCTGCCTGTTCGCAGCGAGATGAAACAGCCACATACCAGAAGTCGCCCAGCGAACAATGAAGACGATAACTGCGACTGCAACAATCACATTGACTACTTCTCCCATTCTTCGAGTATCAGAATAGTTAGCACTGTGTCCGTCAGTGTTGCAGGGTCTTGACCGAAGTGATCGTCGAACTTGAAGTCAGAGGGGAGCGGTAAACACCGCGAATGTAAGTAAGTACCAGACCTATTCCACTGCACTCTGTAGTCGTTAACATTGATTAAGATTTATGAATTTGACACCAGCATACACACATTACTATATGCTACATAAGAGCTCTAGTGATATAACAATTAAATAATTAAGATATAAGTAGCTATCTTTAATTTGGGAAGGACTTGACCTTACTTCCGTCGCTCATTCCGAGCTCACTCTCACTGCTTCCTACCACTGCTAGCCTGTAGCTGGTTATTACTCCGTGCAAGTCATCATAATCAACGCTCGTTTTTAACCAGTATTGTATATGTAAACACTGCCTACAGAGACCATCATGGACGTCGACGCTCTTTCTCCGTCGCAAAAGGACGCTTTGGGCCAGCTGCAGGCTCTCATGAATGGTGGCGATGCCGACGTCGCCATTGGTGTGCTGGACAGTGTGAATTGGGATGTCCAGGTATGTTAAAATTTTTAGAAATTGTTCTTGGGTGCAAACCCTCTTGGCAGACAGTCTGTGTCGTCTCATGCATGCGTGCATGCAGCATGGTCTTGACACTACATGTTCGCCCATAGAGCTATGCATCATGGGATCTGTATTGACTGTCCTTGAGGCCTTTCGGTTACATATATGTTGTTGACAGTGGGCCATGCCTGTCCGAATGTCCCGTCCAATGTGACAGGCTCATTGATGTAATATTACTCGTAACCTTGTTCAGTCGATGCTATGCGTTCTGGATCACACTTGCCACTATCGTTCCTATTCAACTGCTGATGATACATATCTTTCTTACAATGTTTCGGTTGGCACAAGAGACGCTGATTTCTCCTCCTACAGCGAGCGGCAGAGATGATTTTTGATAATGGCGTTCCACCACCTCTCAGTCGCCCCGGTTCGAGGACGAACATTGAACATTTTGAAGTTGACGATTCCGAACAAGGCCTACTGATTCCTACGTCATCTGGGCGAGAATTCCGACCAGTGGTACGATTCAATGCTTCAATCCCGTTCACAAAACTGATAGTATGGTATTGAAGCGGACACCATCTTCGGGGCTAACAGTTCGGCCTGTTCGAGCGCTCATAGCAGTTATCACCTTACCTTTGCGTCTGATTACTTCAATCCTTCGGTTCCTCTTCCGGATCTTGCGCGTACCATTCCCGCAATTTGTACCATTCACTTGGTCTAGTCTATCCTACCGCTCTCATGGCTTAGGGAATAGACACGATTCAAGACTGATGGACCCCAGGAGTGTTGCAGAGCGGTGGGTGCGTGCTCTCGAAGAGGAGACGGGTGCCGTTTGCATTAGTCGCAGTGGAGCTCGTAACAACCTGGACTCTTCCGTAAATGATCACGGCGTTTCTTCCGGCACAGATGCAGCTGGGCCATCTACTCTTACAGCTAGGATGGGACCGAATGATTCTACTGTAGAAGATGTGGAACTGAAATCGCTTCCCGACTTCTTCTTGGGCAGCTACGAGAACTTCGTCCGTACATGCGAGAAGTCCGCTAAGATTGGCTGCGTAATTCTCGTCAGTGAAGAACACGATGATGTTCCGGAGTTCAAGAGGTATGTTTGGGTAAGTTACGCCGTCCTTCATGCCGTAACGTCACAATTTGCAGGAGCACCTTGACGGATCCCACTCTCCTAAAGTTAGTCCAAGAGAACGATATTATTGTCTGGGGTGGCGATATCAGAGACAAGGACCCGTGGAGTGGTGCGTTCCATTTCTCTGATTGGTTGTTCTTGTGCTCATTCTTGTGATACCAGCTTCGCAGAAATTGCAGGCCACCACTTATCCCTTCGTCGCATTCATCGCTCTCCAGGCTCGCAGGACTACTGGCCCCGGGACCGCGTCCGCTCCGACTTTGACCATTCTCTCTCGTCACCAGGGTCCGTGCATCCCTTCCACGTCTGCTCCCACCGCTGCGCAGACGCTCGCGACGCATCTCACGGACCACCTCCTCCCCCGCGTCACTCCGTTCCTCGCCCGCATCAAAGCACAGGCGGCGGAACGCGAGCGAGAGCGGGCATTGCGTGCAGAGCAAGATCGTGCGTTCGAGGAGAGCCGCCAACGCGACAAGGAGCGCGTCGAACGGCGTTTAGCAGAGGACAAGAGGGCCGAAGACGAGAGAAGGCTTCGCGCCGAGGCGGAGGAACAGAGGCGGGCGTGGCATGCCCGCAGGATGGACTGGCGGAGGTACGAGCGGAGGGCCCTGGTGACCCGAGAGCCGCGGCCGGGTGAGTCAGGGCGGGGAAAGACGATGCGAGTGGGCTTGCGGCTGCCGGACGGGCGCCGTCTGGTGAGGTTCTTCGGGGAGAGCGACTCTATGACGGCCCTGCATGCCTATGTCGACTCGCACTTTATTCCCGCGGAGCTCGCGCCGGACAGTGATCCGCATGCCCCCCCGGGGGGTGCGACGCCCGGGGAGATAGGCCTCGTGGAGGAGGTGCAGTCTTCGGGACGGTCGGAGACGCAGTGGTGGGGCTTCCAGCTGGTGCTTGCGTATCCGAGGAAGGAGCTTGCCTGGGAGCCGTCGAGGCGGCTGGGTGATGTTGATGTGCTTAAGAGTGGCGGGCAGCTGGTTGTGGAGATGGTCGGTGACATGGGCAGCGGCGACGGCAAGGGCAAGGAGAAGGCGGCAGCGGCCGAGAACAGCGATGACGGCTACGAGACGGAGGATTAGGTATGTTGGCTGAGAGCTTTATTCATCGTGATACGCTTGCTTCTTGCTTTGAGCTTAGACTAGTATACTAAGTCAAGTTATTATCCTAGTTTTGGTTGATTATTAATGCATATCCTGGATGTGTGAAATACGGAGAACGGATGGTCTCGAATGAGATGAACATTTTGCTCAAGTCTTGTATTGTAAACCATGGTCATTGTAGAGGCTTACTAGTGCTAATACAAGGCTTCAGCAGCAAATATTCGGCGCGGGGATTTACACATGGAGCAACGTGGATGGCATTTAGTCACCACATGCTCATTGGGGAGGAGCCCTGGCATATGCATTTGCAGTGCGACCGTTGAGCAACAAACCGAGTATAAATTGAGCATCAAGAAACAACACTTGCGGACGATGTAGATGCACAAGACGACAATGCGAGGAAGACCGTTGAACACTCAATCCAATCAACCAGCGAAGACCAGAG